TTTTGCAGGATCACAGAGGTTCATTTTTGGCTTAGAGATATTTGTTTGGCGGTTTTTGGTTTGTTTGTGTTTTCTTTTGTTTGCTTGTTTTTTAAACTCTACTCCCCTCCCCGAAAAAAGGTAAACCAAACTTAAATACTTGAAAGAGAAATTATTCAACTTGTAGCTGTATGGACTGGCAAAACTTTCTCTTCACCTCCACCAGAAGGATCCCTAGAGTCAAAAGGATCACATCAGAGCTACTCTATGTGAACTAGTTCCCATTCTTTCAACAAGCTTAACTTGGTGCTTCTGTAAAGCTGTCAGGCCTCAGTTGTAAGAGAAAAATGTTTCTTGGCATAATGATGGCAGGGGCTGATGGTAGTGGTGGTTCCTAAAGGTGAAGGTCAAAATCAAGCTAAAAACAATGTTCTTTCCTTTATGGAGTCTAGGAAGATGAACGATTGTTGTTACAAGTTGCACTTACTTCACTGAGAACACATGTCTCACCAGTGGGGAGCCTAGACTGTCATTAAATTTTCTTTCTTTCTTTCTTTTAATTTATGAAGAAAAGGTTTAATTGACTCACAGTTCCAAAGGCTGTACAGGAAGTGTGGTTGGGGAGGCCTCAGGAAACTTACACTCATGGCAGAAGGCAAAGTGTAAGTGAGCACCTTTTTCATATGACAGAGAGGGAGAGAGAGAGGGGAGGGGAAGGTGCCACACACTTTTGAATAACCAGATCTCTTGAGAACTCTATCACAAGACAGCACTAGCGGGATGGTGCCAACCCATTAGAAACCACTCCCATGATTCAATCACCTTTCACCAGGCTCCACAATCAACACTACGGATTACAATTCAACATGAGATTTGGATGGGAACACAGATCCAAACCATATCACCTTATGTTCTGTTATCTCCATCTTTGTGAATTGACATATCTAGTTATGTAGCCATTTTATCTTGGAAGAAAATGCCAATGATGTTCTATTTAATAAAAACAAACTTCATATTCAGTCTTCAATATGCTTGCCTGCCAAACCTGATGGCCCTAAGGGATTGGAACTGAGGAGAGACATATTCCTGAAAAATTCAGTGCTCAAATGTATTACAGCTTATCAGTTGTACACTTGTGGGGCAGGCTGATTTTATCAAATTCTGTAAATTTTCTTAAGGGAATGAAAATAGTCTTCTGGATGCTACAGACTGAGTGGAGAACTTCAACTTACATCCGGACCAAACCTGAAGCCCTGCTTGAGTTTGTAAGTATGAGAAGGAGCCATAGAAAGTAGCTCCCTCCTGAGGAAAAAGGCAGGGTTTCTCCCAGAGAGCACTGGGGTCACCTAACTGAGAACTTAAAGACAGATCTGAGATGAGGAGGGGTGGGGAAACCAGAGGGGGGAAAGGGAGCTCAGATGAGGAGGGCCCCTCTGGCAAAAGCCAGCATGTTGGAGAGCTGAGGAGGGGTATCCGTCAGAACTCCTAATACTGGAAGGCCCCATTCCTTGGTTGGTACAAAGGAACACTTAAGTTCAACTTTTGTTTCTCCTAGCTACACTACTACACTACATCTGCCTGATTCTTCAGTCAAAGACTTTACTTTTGTGTATTATAGTCTGGAAGGTTTGGTTTCACGGAGGCTGACAGGCTTGGGGCAGCAGGAGGACAATTTCCTTGAGAACTGTCAGGGCAAAGAGCAGGTGGATACTCGCTGTTTTCTGTGAATTTCCTTAGATTATCAGAAGCACAGAGACAAATGACCCTGAGAGGTACCAAGACTAGTCTTTGTAAATTCTCTGCTGCTTCCTGCTTGTAACTTCTTTAAGATCACTCAAAGTTCTGAAACAAAACAAATCTGATTTTGTTTCTGACCTTCTTTCCAACCCAACTATTTCTCCCCTGTGGGTTTGCTTTTTTTTTTTTTGGTTAGATGTCCCTCCTCTGTACTTCCATACCCTATGCTTAAAGCTGCCATAGCATTTATCAACTGTATTCAAATTTCCTTTCTAGACTGTGAGCTTCATGAGGACAGAGATACTGTCAACTTTTCCATGGTTCTAGCCCTAGTGAATACTGTAATCCCTATATAAAATAGTTGGTCAAGAAATATATGGGTGTGTGTGTGTTTTCTTTTGAGACAGGGTCTCACTCTCTTGCCCAGGTTGGAGTGCAGTGGTGTGATCAAGGCTCACTGCAGCCTCAACCTCCCAGGCTCAAGTGATCTTTCCACCTCAGCCTCCTGAATAGTGCCTGGCTAAATTTTGTACTTTTTGTAGAGACAAGATCTCATGATGCTGCCCAGGCTGGTCTTGAACTCCTGGGCTCAAGCGATCTGCCTACCTCAGTTTCCCAAAGTGCTGGGAATACAGGCATGAGCCACCATGCCCAGCCAAGAAATAGATGTTGAATAAATGCATGAGTAGATTTACTCACCTTATCACACTTAATCTTTATGGTTTCTATTATATCTCATTTAACAGATAAGAAAACTGAGACTTATACAATTACATAAACATTTCAAGGTTATAGGGGTAGTATACAATTTAGAAGGAGGTGTTATTTGAATTGGACCTTGAAGGATGAGTAGAATTGCAACAGGTAAAGATGGAAAAATGGCCTTCCAAGTAGACATAAGCATGTGAATATAAGCATGGAAATAGCAAACCATATGGAATATTTGGGGACTGGTTATTACTCGCTTTAATGGTTGTAAAAAGGTTTTGCAGTGATGTAGTGAAAGATAGGGCCAGAAATGGTGGTTGGAGTAACAGTGGAATAATAATAAGAGTAGATAACATTTATTGAGTATTTGATACATACCAACACTATTCTAAGTACTTAAATGTAAAAAATAAATTTACAAATAGCTAATATAAAACCATGGTAAAAAAAAAAATTTACAAGAACAGAAGCATATGGAGTGAAAGGTAAGACTCCTTCTCATGCTTATATCTTTCCCTACCTCATTTCCCATTTCCTAAGGCAACCACTGCTATACTTTTTGTATATCCTTCTAGAGATACATCATATTCTGTGCATATGCAAACATATACATGTATATGTTTTTACACAAGTGACCATGTACTAATATACTGTTATACTTCTTGCTTTTTTCATTTTCAATGTATTAGAGATCAGCTCATACTGCTATTGTATGAGCTTCATTTTTAAGACTGCTTCTTAGTATTCCATTCTACAGATGTGCTATAATCTATTTAACCACTTCCCTCCTGACAGATATTTAGAATATTGCAGATCTTTTGCTGTTACAACCAACTGTATTGAATATCCATATATGTTTTGCTTTGAATTCATGTGTGAGTATATATGAAGCTAATTCCTAGAAATGGAATTTATGAGTTAAAAGGAATGTGCTTTTTAACTTTTCACAGATATTATAAAATTGCTCTCCAAAGAAGTTGTGCTACTTTATACTCGCCTACAATGTACTATCAAATTTTCTGATCTTTGTCAATTTGATCAGTCAAAAGTCAGCTTTCACTGTTTTAATTTGTATTTCTCCTGTTATGAATAAAATGATCATTACTTAATGTATTTTAAATACAATAAAATTTCAGTTCATAAAACTATAAATAGAAATTTATAACAAATATATGTATTTAAATTAAAAGAAATAATATCTAAATCTTATTAAATTAATAAAAATAAAATAAGCATTACTTGATGTAGTTTTCCTCTTTTCTGTAAATCAACTGCACTTCTTTTGTTTTTATTTTTATTTTTTAAATTTAAATTTAATTTGAACTTTTTTAGAGACAGGGTTTCACTCTATCATCCAGACTGGAGTGTAGTGGTGTAGTCATGACTCACTGAAGCTTGAACTTTCTGGGTTCAAGCAATCTTCCAGCCTCAGCCTCCCAGGCAGCCAGGACTACAGACTTGAGCCACCATGCCCAGCTAACTTATTATTTTTATTGTTTTCAGATATGGGGTCTTGCTATGTGGCCCAAGCTTGTCTTGAACTCCTGGCCTCAAGTGTTCCTCCCGCCTTGGCCTGCCAAAGTGTTGGGAATACAGACATAGGCCACAGTGCCTAGCCATTTTCTCTTTTTAAAATGTCACTTTGTTGTTCTTTTTCCTATTGATTTGTTGGCTTCTTTATATATTAGAGAAATTAGTCCCTTAGGTGTTATATATCTTACAAATATCTTTTTTCTTAATTTGTCATTATTCTTATGATATTGTCTATGTTTTTAAATGCTTTATTTTTACTTTTAAATGTTTTCGTCAGAAAATTTCAAACATTTACAAAATAGAAAGAATAGCTTAATAAATTCTTATGGTCCAAATACCTACCCAGCATTATCAAAATATATAAAAAAACTTAATTCATTTAATACCCATCCCCCACTCCCACCACACTGCTTCTCTTCTGCTGTCCTGTTGAATTATTTTAAAATAAATATATCATTTTGTATCATTTTTATCTATGATCATTATAGTCCTGTAGCAATTTTAATTTTGTGTATTCAAATTTATTAAACTTTCATTTTATGGTTTCCGGTGTTTGGATCACCCTGAGAATATACATAGTCATGACAAACTTTTGAGGTGAGTAATGTCTTAAAATTGAGCCACAAAGAAGCTCGAGTAACTTGCCTAAGGTGGCACAGCTTATAAAGGGTAGGAGTTAGGACCATGCCCTAGAGTCTAATGTAGGGCTCCCTCTCTTGACCATCATACCATACCTCTGCCCAGGGAGGCTATAACGGCCAAGCTAAGCAAGACAGACCTCAGGTTGGCACTTGCATTCATTCATGGCTGCTGAATGGTGAAATCATGCAGAAGAAGTCTGGCACAGTGGCTGCTTCCATAAACCTTTCAAGTCAGCGCACTTTAGAGGGGCAAGGGGTCTGTCATAGATCCCCTTTAGAATCTCAAGAAAGCTCCTGGATTCTGTCCATAGGAAGTATGCATATTTACACATATAGACACAAACACACACATGCACACACACACACACACACACATTAACACACCAGGCTGCAGGGACTTGCTTATCTTCATTCTGTTATCTCTGTATTAGACAAAGAAACAGGCCTGGATTGGACACTTACTAGAGGTTTTTTGCCATTCAGTTCCCTAGAGAACAGTGCAGTTTGATTATATTTGTATTTGTAGGCAGGTGAGGATGACCTATTTAATCAATACATCTAAAGGCTAAGAGATAAGCTATATTATTCAGGTTCTGTAACAAAGCTTATGCTAATTTAACTTGACATGTAGCGTGTTAGGTTAATATGATTTAGATTACATGTATCATTTTTAGAAATTGATGTTTTTGTTGCTGGTTTCCTCTGACATTTTTGAACTATAATATGGAATGCAATACTTCTCCAACAAAGAAGGTAATTCTTACTAGTGAATGTAATTAATGGTTATCTGATCATATTACAGCATAGAAATGATGTTTTTGCCACACAATAGGTTTCCTAATTGGTGATCCAAGGATGACCACATTGATTTTCTGCCCATAGAGATTTCCCACTGTGCATGGGATTATCTCTTAATATTGTGATAGCAGCAAATAATGGTTATAGCCAGTAAGAAAATTAATTTACAATGCTTCAACAATCATTATGAAAGACCTAATAATGCTAATTTAGGTGTAGGATGAGTCATCCAATTAGTTAATTAAATAGAACCGTGCTGCCTGTCTCCTATAATGGAGCACACTGTGTTGTAGGTGTTTGATAGAGATGAGCAATGCCAAGGGAAGGTAAAAGAGTACACACTGACCCCCACAAATGCATGTAATGTTTATATTTATGAAAGCACAAGCAAAGGTAATCACTTTGCCGAAAATCAGAAACAGCCATTTTTTAAATAGTTATTTTGCTCTTATCTTATTAAGAAAAAATTTTGCCGGTCTATTTGTAAGCTTTATAACTTCCAAGAATGTTTTTAAATCTTGATTTGATTTCTCAAGTCCAAAATGCTCCCATAAATTTATTACCCTTTGGTTTTTCTTAAAGAAAATAATAAAATCACTGCCATTGGGTTGAACACTACCAATATCTCCATCTATTTAACTTCTTTTAGTTGCAGTAACTTGCATCTAATTTACAAAACTCGTATGCCCATGTGGGCCATAAAAAAAAAGGGGGCTGCAAATTTTAATTAGCTTGTCTAGCTGGTGGTCCCACATAGCTTGGGATTCAGAGGTTCTAGTTATTTCTCCCCTTTCAGCTTTTGTTATTTCACACTAATAGGTTTTTGTATTTTTAGTCTGTCTTCATGTGAGAAGTACCCTGCCCCTTCAGTGAGTTTAGCTGCTTTTTCCTAGGCAATACCAGATGTCCTGATCCTCTTTGCAGGGAAGAGGGGGAAAGCATTGGTTTAACCAGAAATCACATATTTCTCATTTGAATACAATGTAATTGCTCAGAAAGAACAACTGTCTCTACCAAGAGAGTGAAATACTCCTTTTCTAACTGCCAGCTTGGAATAATTAGTTTTGTGCTATAACGCAGGAAATGTTTTTTGGTTTTTTTTAATCAAAAAAAGATACTGAACATGATTACAATAAAAGTTATCTAATGATTGAATGGAAGTTCAACATTTTCTTGAAGAGTTTACAAACCACAATAGATTTTCTTCCTGTCAATTCAAATATTCATAGGTCATACAGGCTGGCCTTCTGCCACAGCGTACCTATAATTCCTTATTTTAAAATACTAATTAACTTTTAAGCAAAAGTCTTTTAGCTCTGGATACAGTACTGCCTATATGAAGGAAATAACATGACTGAGGTGAAGAATGGTGTTTCTTGGAATAGGTATTGTTTGCCAAGCTCTATCCAAGAGCCCTACAGAAAGTAGAAAAAGACGTTATAGAAGAGTAAGCAGACATTTTTACAAGGTCACTTCATTCAGACTGGAAAGTGGCCAGCACAATGTCATTATTTACAACAGGATCTGGGAACACTTGAGGAAATTACAGACCATTTAGTTTTGATTCCATTGTAGGGGGCAACGTCTTAGGAAGTATTTTAGGAGATTAAATGGGGAACACTGAGAAAAGCACAGCTTGATTAAGGATAGCCAATGCAGTCTCTGGAATGAAAAAGTCATGCTTCGATAATTTTTTGACTTCTTTAAGGAAGTAAATGACAAGGAAATCAAATGAATGCCTCAAAATTCTCTATTCTAAATTTCCAGGAGGTGTTGGTTAAAGTTTTGCTTGACAAATTAGCACACACAAAGAAGTGGTTCGAGAAATGCAGGAGACAAAGATTAATTGTGCATTAAATTGTCTTTAAAATGAGATGGAATCACAGGACCAAAAGAATTTTATTGAGACAAAGACATTATAATAGTCTGAGTATTTATGATCAGCATCAGCATCAGCATTATGTTTTTGTGCCTTTATGATGTAATTAGAATTTTTCCAGTGGAAAAAATGGAAATCTTTGATTTTCAAGAATACATGGTCTAATAAAGATAACACTGATTCAGGTTTATCTAAGCAGACAGAGAACTAGGCAAATATAACAAAAATTTAGTAAGACTAACTCTTAGATGGCTAATAGTGAGGAAAACATGTTGGTTTTTAAAATTCAGGACAAGCATTTACAGAACTTCTCTTTGGTGAAGGGAGGCAAAGCTGCTATGCTTGCCGGATGGGCAAACCTACTAACCATCAAAGGAACAGCACAGCAGGGCCTTTTCTGGGCATGAGAGGGCTTTGTCTGGAAGGTTATCCAGGTTCCCAGTCTAGGTGGCTGGTAGGAGGGTGACTGTCCTTGAAGGATAAGCTTCAACTACACATGAGTCAGAAGTTAGCTGAAAATGAAGAGGGAGTAGACCAAAAATGAGCAAACAAAATTCGGGTACTGGATTATAAGGCATCTAAGTCCTTTCCAATTCTAAAATACTGTGATCTCCCAGGGGATCTTCAAATAATCTTTTCAGATTAGACAGGAAAGATTTCCTGCTGAATAAAGTGAACTAGGGATGTACATAAACATCCTCTAGAAGGCAAGTTTGCTGATATAATAATAGGGGAGAAGAGTTCACGATGTAGCTGACATTTATTGAGTACTTACTCTGTCCCAGGTGATTTGCTAAGTATTTAACATACATATCACTTATTTTAATCCTCTTTAAAATCCTAACAATAGGATTATACTATAATTATCCCCATTTTGCAGTTGAGGAAACTAAATTAGAGAGGGGATGTAAGTTGCTCTTCATTCAGACTGGAAAGTCCCATGTGAGTGGGGGTTTCACATGGGGCTGGGCACGGTGGTTCACACCTGAAATCCTAACACTTTGGCAGCCAAAGCAGGGGGGTCACTTGAACCCAGGGGTTTGAGACCAGCCTGGGCAATATAGTGAGACCTTGTTGCTATAAAAAATTAGCCAAGTGTGGTGTCATGCACCTATAGTTCCAGCTTACTTGGGAGGCTGAGGTGGGAGGATTGCTTGAGCCTAGAAAGTAGAGGTTGCAGTGAGCACCACTGCACTCCAGCCTGGGTGACAAGAGAGACTGGTCTAAAAAAAAAAAGAAAGAAAGAAAAAGAAAAGATTCACATGGCCAGTTAAGTGTAAGTTACTGCAGCCAGTTATTTCAAGCCAGTATATGAAAGTGTTTCAATTTGCCTGATCATAAGACTTGTCTGAGGCGCTTGACAAAAAAACAAAAACAAAAACAAAACAGACATTCTAGGTCCTTCCCCTGGAGTTTCTTTCTAGAGTAAGGCCTGAGATTTAACATTTTTACAAGCAACCAAAGTGGGTCTTAAGATCAACCCTATTTAAGAAACAGTGCCGTAATACCATAAAAGCCTCCCAGAAAATCAGAGTTGGGTATTCCAAAGCCTAGCAGATGCCAGCAGCTAAAGGCTATATGATAGAAGGCATGGAATATCCACCCTCCAAGAGGGCCAGGAGCCTACAGCCCCCACAGCAGCATCAGTCCATGAGGCTGCAGTCCTCCGTAGGCCTGCAAGGTGCACACACCCTTCTGGCATAATCCCATACAAGGAAACTCTCTTTGGCTTAAAACAGATCCTCTTGATAAACCACAGTTCAGAGAAACAGATTGCAACATTCTTTTTCAAATTCTTACACAATGTCAAGACAATAGGAAAAACAGAACCATGTGGAATTATCTAGGAAGGAATCACTTCTGATCAAAAGGAAAAAAAAAAAGAATATGAAACAGAAAAGAGAAGATTTTAAAATATCTAATTTTTGGTTGACTAGAATTGGTAATTACTTGGAACACCTGTTATTTCTCATCTCTGGTATCTTTGTTAACTGAATACTTAAACAGATGCATAGGTCTTTTTTTGGAATGAACAATGAATACATTATAATATGCAATCTATTTTCTTGGTACAAGAACTCTAAAAAGATAACACATTTAATTAAATGCACCATAACTTCAAAGAGCTGCTAGGGTATCAACACACTCTTGAAGGGATCCATGGGGAAACTACCAATTATACATCCAAATAAACATATCCATAGCAGACTCGGGCTTTTTAGTGTTCACACTTTAATCAATTCTACAAACATTTATTGAGTCCCCTACTATGTGTCAGGCACTAGGATTCTATGGGGAATACAAAAATGAATACAAAAGCCTCTATCTTAAAGAAACTTACAATCTAATACATGAAATAACACATACCCACAAATGACTCTAGTGCAAGTTCTATATGTGATGAAAGAATATAAGCATTCAGTGAGTTCAGATTGCTTCCAACTCTGAAAATTTCTCAGGAAGGAAATGACATTTGCGAAAAGAATGAAAGGATGGGCAGGATTTGAGAGCATATAACGTTCTCATTTTGAACCATTATGTTCTTAATTGTAAAATAAGGATAATAATAATACTCACTAGTGACTCTGCAGTAATGTTTACAGGGTCAATCTAACGTCATGAATAATTCATCAGCAGGAATAGTTACTGCTCAAGAAACGTGTACACTTGCTACTACCTATTGTTAACTCCTCTTTAAATGTTTCCGGTGTCACCTTTCAGAGTTCTTCAGCATGATAAAGCACAAGCCTCATGGTGGAGAGGTTACCTTTTGTGAACCCCACAAAAGTATACCATAAGTATGAATGTGCTGTGCACCTGTGTATGAATCCCTGGTTATTTGTATATTGACTATGCTATGTGTTAAGGTGAACCAGGTGGGTAAGCTCTGTTCTGAGTACCCAGTAAAGAACCTATCATCCTCTTGGCTTGTTTAACAATATGCCTCTCACATCTGTCTTGACTTTTCTGCTACCACTGCCCTAGTTTGGTTCAGGCCCTTATCACTTCACCTCTAGAGTACTGCACATTTCCTTCAACTGATCTCTTGGTGTCTAGGCCTTCCCTCTGCTGTTCTTTCACACAAGGCGCCGTCAGGTTGATTTTCTTAAGCGGTGGTCTGTTCACATCACATTGCTCAAAAGTCCTTCAGTGGGTCTCTCCTGCTCTCTAGAGAGAATCCAGACTCCAGGGCCTGCAATTCTGAACTCTACAATCTGGACCCAACACACTTCTCTAGCCTTAAATCCCACGACATTCCTGTATCTGTACCTTTGCTTTTGTACCTCTTGCTGACCAAAACACCCAGTCTGCATCTCCATATGTCACAATAGTAACCATCCTTCAGTACCTGCTCTGCTCAACTCTAGCCTTCCATCGGCTTTCTGTACAGACTGCTTGGTATTGTACATATTTGAATACAGGGCTATATTTATCAAGGTAAGTAACATCAGATGCTTACAATACAATACACAATACAACACAACAATATTGCTTCCTGCACAGAACTTTGCCTACTTCAGGCACTCAATAACTTGTTTAATTACACACATTTAATAATACTTAACATTTATTAATAATAATACTTAATATTTATTAACCATGTTTCAGGTACCATTTAAATTCTTTCCATGCATTTTATCTTCTCAAGAACCCTCTGAAGTAGGTACTGTTATTATCCCATTGAATGAAGAGGAAATAGGTACAAAGAGCAACCTGCCCAAAGTTACATAACTAGTAAGTTGGACACAAGTAGTTTTACTCCTGATGTTCGTAATGAACATGCAGTGGGGACTCTAATATTTTCTAAGGTCTTTTACAATCTATAAAATGTCACATTTACATGATTTTCATTTTATCTTCACAACAAATTAATGTGGTTGGTATTATTATCCTCACTTTCCAGAAGTCAAAACTGAGGTTTAGCGACAGGCTCAAAGGTATCTGTTGAGTCACAGAGTCAGGCTTTAAGCACTAAAGGTCATTCCTCCTCATTGCTGTTCTGTGTCACAGCAACATGTCTCCTTAATAAAAAACCAAGGTAAGCACATGCCAATAACTGGGAATGTGGTCCAGATCCTTTTCAAGATCAGTGTGTGGCACTGGTACACTCCTGGTGCCAAATGGCCATCTGGCAATGTGACACAAGTAACAAAACATGAGGGCATACCCAATGAGCTCTGAGCTTGCCTTTCTAATCTCCCCTGCCACGATAGGGGTTTAAAAGGGAAGCATTTATTCCTAAACTTCTAGGAAATGCCTCTGTCTTAGTTTGGGTTCCTGCCTAAGAAGTATTTGGGTGCAGGTAGTTTACTTGGGAGATGAACCTGGGAGGCAGCAGTGAAAGAGTAAAGAGAGCAGGGCAGGGAAGGAGAAGCTATCAATAAAAGGTTATCAATGCGTTTGCTGGGCAAAGGTGGCTGGACCTTTGAGAAATTACACCTGGACCTTTGAGAAATAAGCCTTCCAGAATGGCCCACCCAGTGGCAGAAAGCTAGAGCATTTGTCCACTAACCTCATGATTCACTGGTTGAGAGTGTCATGACGGCATTAACTCCCCAACTTCCAGTCTTCCCTTGCAAGTGGGTCCAGCAAGCTCCTGTATCTTTGGAGAAGACTCTGGGGCAGAAGGCTGAAAAACACACAGTGCATGCTTGAAGTGAGACACTATCAGACTAAGACTAAACTTGCATCAACTGTCCACCACAGTCATGGCTGAAATAAGCTGAGAGGATACAACATGAGGTACCAGAGGCTTCTCTTATACCAAATGAATTTAACCTGAAAAATTTTCAAATCCCCATAAGCCACCTAGGGATTTAATTATTTGGAGGGTAACTCTTTGGCAACATCCTAAATAATTCTCCTGGAGTGCTAATACTGTCTCTTTCTCATTTAAAAAGCATAAGCAATATATCCTATACCAAGATAGCTCAGTCCTAAAGTTACCAGTATGGATATGTCAAGTTTATTAGATTTTATGATAAATGCCCAAGGACACTATTAAAAGATGATGGTTTAAAATACATATATATACATATAAAATACATATATATATAAAATACATATTTATAAACAGATATATAAATACATATATACACAAATAAATATATATACATATAAAAACATTTATATATATAAATATGTAATGTAGGAAGCAAAAATAAGTTAATCAAGACACTGAAATGATTTCAATTAACACTAATATTTTTCATAACTGTAGACTGAATTGTGTTATAGTAGTGTAGTAAGTAATAAAGAGGACAAGTTTTAAAGTGAAACAGACCAATTAACTGAGAGTATGATTTTTAAGCCAGTTTATCAGTCAGCTATTGCTGCAATAATGTTGTGTAACAACTCCAAAATTTCAATGGCTTGTGACAATAAGCATATATTATTCATTCACCAAGTCTCTGGGTGGATTGTAGTTCTGGGCTCAGCTTGGATTGGGTTGGTTTGGCTTGGCTTCAGTCTCTGAATTAAGTTTAGGTCTACTCCACATTTTTCATTATTCTCCTCAAAATAGTAGCAATACAGGTAGATTCTTTAAATGGTGAACAGCAGAAGCACAGGATGAAAGAAGCTAATTCACACAAACATTTAACCTATGGTTCACATCATGTCTTCCCACATATACTTAGTCAAAGTAAGTTACATGACCAATCTCAACATCACTGCAGTGAAGAAATAGCCTCCGCTTTCTCTTGTGGGAAATATTGAAAAATCACACAGCAAACGGAGGCAGTGAAGAATTGAGGATGAGAATCTTATCTACTTGATCTACAAAGGAGGGATAGTTACATTTATTTTAGCACGTGTTGTGAGGATGGAACCAGATAAGTCACGTAACATGGATATTACACTTGTGGCACATAGTAACTGATCACCAAATGTTAATTCCCGCTATCTTATCCCCTTCTCTAACCATTAGAAGGAAGGCAAAAGGAACCAATGCTTAATTAGCTCTGTCTACAGGATACCACATTATTTCTTTAATTAATCAGAAAAATGGTCAATCATGTTGTGCACAGTGTAGGAAAAAACAACACTCTCACTACATATTTTTCATTCTTGAATAATTTTATGTTACTTCCTATCACATTTTCCTCTACATAATCGCAAAACAACCATCAAAATCAAGAAAATAACATTAATATACTGCTACCATCTAATACGCAGACCCCATTCAAGTTTTTCCATCTGTCCCAAGGGTCCAGTTCAGAATAATTAAATGCATTTAGTTGCCATATTACTGTAGTTTTGTTTAATTGGAACAGCTTCTCAGTCTTTCATTGACTTTCTAACTCCATTCATTTTCTATACTTCATAACAAATTACCATAAATTTAGCAGCTTAAATGTATTATCTTAAAATTTATTTAAGATAAAATTTAACACACATTCATTATCTAAAATTTCTGTGGATCAGGCTTGACAGGGTTTTATGTCTTACCAGGCTGAAGTCCCTGTGTCAGCCAGTGCTGTGGTCTCATCAGAGCCTTGACTTAAAAAAGATCTGCTTCCATGCTCCCTCAGCTTGTTAGCAGATATTTCTTTGCTGCTTCAAGACTGAAGTTTTAGTTTCCTTCTAGACACCACCCTCAGCTCTTACAACGTGTCCACATTTCCTCGTCATGTGGGCTTCGCCAACATAGCCACTTACTTCAGGAGCTTATTTCTTCAAGGACAGTAAGGAGTTGTCTCTCTAGCACCTCTGTTAGTAAGCTAGAGTTATATATATATATACACACACACACACAGAGGACATATATATGTGTATATATATCACTTTTTGTATGATTTTACATATATAAAAATCATAATGTAATTATGGGAGTGACATTTATCACCTATGCCATATATTACTGGTTAAAAGCAAGTCACAGATCCTTACCAAACCGAAGGATAGGAGATTATACAAAGGCATGAACACCAAAGGGCAGGGATCACTGTGGGGGTCAGGGAGGCAAGGGGGAGGAAAGACTGATCATCTTAGGTTTTATCCACTATAGTGGCCTTGACACTTTTGAATATTACCTTCTGGAATCTTCCTTAATTCAGGTTTTTGTAAAATGTTTCTCCATTCCGATTTGTCCAAAGTTTTCTCATGATTCCTCATGCCCAGGTAAAGATTCTTTTTCCAGAATACCACAAAAAGATGTTTAGTTCTTCACACTGTATAGTGGCTTGTAATTTCAGTTTGCCCTATTATGGAGTTCATATCTATTATTTAAATGAAGTATTATCTACCAGGATTTACTCTTTTTCTTTATGTAATTAATAAACGTTTGGTAGAAATATGCTTTAAAACTGTTAAAATCCCATTCCTCATCACACTTCCAATCAATCAATAAAGTTATGTATTTAATCAGTGTGTGTTCATGGTTCACTATTTAATAGTTTATAATCAATTAATCAATTTTTTAAAATTTTGGTGGTCAACTTATCCCCAATTTATCCAGTGGAAGTCCCTTCAGTTTGGCTTGTGTGTTCTTTAACATACCTCTATCATTCTTTGAGCAATTTCTATTTTTAGGCACATTAATCCAAGGAGCCTTTGCTCTTTGTGTGGATTTAAATTACAGTCTGAGGTCACTTACTTTCAGCATGAAGAACTTCTTTTAGTATTTCTTACAGGGTGGTTTGCTAGCAACAAATTATCTGTGTTTTTGTTTATTTTGGAAAGTCTCTTTTATCTTGAACTTTGAAAGATACATTTGCTGAATATAAAATTCTTGGTTGACAGGGGTTTTTTTTGAGCACTTTGAATATGTTCTCTTATTGCCTTTTGGCCTCCATTGTTTTTGCTGACAAATCAGCTGATAATCTTATTATTGGCTCCCTTATAATTGATTCATTTGTTTTATCTTGCTGCTTTCAAGATTTTCTCTCATGTTTAACTTTCAGCATTTTTTGCTGTAATGGGTCTGTTTGTGAATCTCTTTGCATTTATCTTACTTGGAGATTGTTGATCTTCTTGGTTGCACAGGTTATTATGTTTCAATACACTGAGAGAGCTTTCAGCTATTATTCTTTGGAATATTTTTTCTTCTCTTTCTTTCTCCTCTCCTGATATTCTCATTACTTGTACATTGGCATACCTAATAGTGTTCCACATTTCTTTGAAAATCTATTCATTTTTCTTTTTTCTCTGTTCTTCAGCCTGCATAATTTCTATTAATCTATATACAAGTTCACAAACTCTATCCGCTACCAACTCAAATTCAAATCTACTTCTGAGCACTTCTTCAAATTTTCATTATTATATTTTTCAACTCCAGAATTTGTTTGGTTATTTTTAATAATTTCTTTATTGATATTTTCAATTTGATGTGCCATTGTCATCACACCTCCTTTCACTTCTTTAATCATGCTTTTCCCTAGCTCTGTGAACATTTTTACAATAGCTACTTTGAAATATTTTTTGTCAGAATTTGATATTAGTTTTGAGCCTAGGTCTCCTCTTGGCTATCTTATTCATCCTTTTCTCCTACAAACTAGCCACCCTACAGTCTTGTTTTATCTTCATTAGTTTAACAAATCTCCTCATTACCTTTTACCACAATCTCTCCTGTTCTTCAGATCATGTGTAGGTTAAATTTTTTCACACTCTCTTGCAAATAAAGTCAGTTCCTTTGGGAAGAGTTTAGGAACAATCTGGTTTATGGGTCTAACTCTCAGGCAAAATCTCTGAAACAGGACTTTGGAACTGCAGGCAGGGAGAATAGTGCTTCTCTCTGTTTTACACTCCTGCTGTAGGAGCTGAGTGCTTGGTGGTGGGGTCAGCCTGAGGTCCTCTCAGGTTGTCTGGCATGGAACCACCACTTCAGGAGCCAGAAATAGGGCTATCAGGGTCCCAGTAGTCTCAGCATGCCACACACAAAGTAGAGTCTGTATCTGTGAGAGAAAAAGTTTAATTTTAAACTGCAATCCTAGAACTTAGCCTCAGCAACAGCTGCTAGGGAAAGGATGAGAAATACCAAAATCCTGCTCCTTTCAGGATGTAAGCACTCTACCTGAGACCCAGTGGAGAGAGAGAGCCCTGTGTTCTTGGCTGGAGTAGAGTTTCAGGGGTACATGTGCAGGTGTGTTACATTGATAAACTTGGGTCATGAGGGTTTGCTGTACAGATTATTTCATCATCCAGGTACTAAGCCTAGTACCCATTATTTTTCCTGATCCTCTCCCTCCTACCACCCTCCACCTTCCAAAAGGCCCCAGTGTGTGTTATTCCACCTGATGTGTCCATGTGTTCTCATCATTTAGCCCCCACACATAAGTAAGAACATGTAATATTTGGTTCTCTGTTCCTGTGTTAGTTTGCTGAGGATAATGACCTCCAGCTCCAATCATGTCCCTACAAAGGACATGATCTTGTTCTTTTTTATGGCTACAAAGTATTTCATGGTGTATACATACCATATTTTCTTTATCAGGTCTATCATTGATGGGCATTTAGATTGATTCCATATCTTTGCTATTATGAATAGTGCTGCAATTCACTCAAAACCATATAATTACATGGAAACTGAATAACCTGCTCCTGTGTAACTTTTGTGTAAATAATGAAATCAAGGCAGAAATCAAGAAGTTATTAGAAACTAGTAAAAACAAAGATACAGCGTACCACAATCTCTGGGACACAGCTAAGGCACTGCTAGGAGGGAAACTTATAGCACTAAATGCCCACATCGAAAAGTTAGAAAGATCTCAAGTTAACAAATTAACATCACAACTAACAGAACTAGAGAACCAAGGGCAAACAAATCCCAAAGCTAGCAGAAGACAAGAAATAACTACAGAGTTTATAGAATATTTGTTTCTTCACTTGCCACTTGCCTTTAGGACCATTTCCAGATATTTTGAATGGTTGATTTTTTTGTCTTTAAAATTTTTTTTTTTTATTTTTATTTTTTTGAGACAGAGTCTTGCTCTGTGCCCCAGGCTGGAGTGCAGTGGCATGATCTCGGATCACTGCAAGCTCCGCCTCCCGGATTCACGCCATTCTCCTGCCTCAGCCTCCTGCGTAGCTGGGACTACAGGCGCCCACCACTGCACCCGGCTAATTTTTTGTATTTTTAGTAGAGACAGGGTTTCACTGTGGTCTCGATCGCCTGACCTTGTGATCTGCTCACCCCGGCCTCCCAGAGTGCTGGGATTACAGGCGTGAGCCACCGTGCCCGGCCTGTCTTTAAAATTTTAACCAGTTTCATTGGAAAGTGGGTCAGCAAAGCTCCTCATGCTATCATGCCAGTTGATTTCCCTAACTCAATGCTTAACTTCTTAACTGGCTACATTCTTTTTGAATAGGCATGGCCCATAGCCCATATACATTTCAGAGTTTCTAAATATGAGACTTATTTTGCATTATCCACAATTGCAGCTTTTTCAGACCTTTGCATTGTCTCTTCTCTCTGTATAGAACTCCCTTTCCCTAGATAGTCACAGGGCTTACTCTCTCTCCTCCTTCACATGATTGCTCAAGAATCATCTTTTTAGCAAGGCTTTCCCTTAACACCCTATTTAACATTGAACTCTATTTCCAAACCGGCACTTTTATCCTCTTTTGCTTTTTTCCCCCCCATTCATCACTATCTATGATACTGTATATTTACTTATTTGGTTTTTGTCTTTCTCACTCCAGAAGAATACAAACTGTGTTTGGTCAGAGGCTTCTTTCCCCTAATCTCTTTTGCTCACTGCTGAATCCTTAGCACCTTCAAGGGTCCTACACATGGTGGGCACTAAAAATATATTCAATAAGATAACATTCTTGGCATCTTACATGTATTAACTCATCTAATGCTGACCTATGATCACTAATAGTAACAACAATCAATGAAAATAATTATTAATAATGTTTCCTGCTCTTCAGACATGGAAACTGAGGTACAGAGAAGTTAAATACAATCAGACCATGGCAGAGGCAGGATGTGAACCCAGGCCACTTGACTATTAAACTTTCATTCTCATTCTCCTCACTCCCAGAAACTGGTTTCTTTTTCAGAGCACTAACTCAACTATTTCCAGTTTACATGTTATGACATTGGTTGATATTAGTTAGAGTTATTAAGATTTCAGAGTACTCATATTTTAATAATGCAATCTTAAGAATCGAATCCCTTTAAATATCACGTGAGTCTATTTTTTTAAAGTTGTATTTCAGAAAGGAGGTAAGGAGAATTGTTTTTTGAAGAAAAGGAATTTGATTGATGCTTCCTAAATAAGCAGTGGCCTATTTTCCCTGCTTATTGGTATCCAGCAATTAAATTAAATGAGGTATAATAGCTGTAAAATATATAATTAGTGCTCACTCTTAGTTTCTAGGAATTATGTTAATGTAGCTTGGTGTTGCATCAACAAATCTCAATGGAAATTATTTTTTAAAAAAACCAATAATGTACTGAAAAGCATCTCTTGGAATTTAAATTGGAATAGAAACTCTATAATGCATTAAAATCAACATTCTCATATCTGCAATAAATAGAGAAATATAACTTGCTGGTATTACTGTTCTACCTGACATAAATTAAAATGATAAGATTATAACATGAAAGGGATAATAAATATTATCCATGGATATATGCAGATGATGGAATTATGAGTAATTTAAAATTTTCTGTATTTTTGATGTATTTAAAATAAATGTATCATCTCTGGAATCAGATAAAATAGTGGTTAAGTGTTAGAAAAGACTAAGGAGCCTTGTGCTCATGAGAAGAAGCTTTAATTGCTAAACATGTAAATAAACCTATTTACTGCCATGTTATGGATGTTTCTGCATATGTAAATATTTTAACAACTTGTAAATTCATTTTATACAGGTACAATTAAGTGGATCTAGTACTTCTGAAACTTACTATATAAAGAATTTAATATGCTATATTAAGTATGATGATAATACTTTCTCTTTTTTGACACATAAAAATTATACGTATTTATGAAGTACATGTGATATTTTGATATATGCATGCAATGTGTAATGATCAAATCAGGGTATTAGGATATCCATCACCTCAAATATTTTCTTATATAAAGAATCCTTATTATAAAGTTTGAGTCTTCAGTACTAGAAAAGGCAGCAGAGGTTTAGAGCTTGGGCACTGGGCCACACATCCCAGGTTTTAAACCCTAGCTTCATCATTCTTGAGCTGTGGGACAGTGGACAAGCTATGCACAATCTCTGCGACTTGGTATCACCCTTCATAAAAAGAAGGCAATAATTACTCCTGTTTTACAGGATTGTTGTGGGCATTAAAGGAATTGACAAGTTAAACTTAGGGCAATACCCTGACATGCATTTGCTAGCATGGTTATACTAAACTGTAAGCCTCTTGAAGTTAAGGGGAGTTATTTTATTTACTTCTGCTCCTTACACATGGAAAAATATCAATAAATGATTATACAACTAATGATGGAATTCTTTCATTTGAGAACTAAAATAAACATGAGAATTACACAGTCATTAAAACAAAAATGATAATATTTTGTGGACTCTCACATGTGAGCTCTGTCAGGATTTCTCTTTGGCTCCCAGTTAAGAGCTCTAGGAAGAGAAAGTTCTATTTTTTCACTATAAAAGCTAGAGATTTTTCTCAGGCTAGATAAATAAGAAAGAGAATGTTTTAAAGCTACGACTTTGTATGAAAGTAATAGAACCTCAATTCTAATTAGTTTATGTAACAGAAAAAAGGAGACGTGCTTGGCTTATGCAGCTACAACACAAGGAGAGGCACTGAAGCTGGCCTTTGGGATAACTAGAATCAGGTTATCCCAAACTAGAATTTGTGTCCATCTACAAACAGCAGAGCCCAGCTGTTTCTTGCATGCTTTCTCTCTTGGTCTTGCTCCTCACCCTTTGCCTCTCGTTCTATTTCTCTCCTGCATGTTAGTTTTGTTGTTTCCCACTGCAGGAAGTTTCCGTGTACAATGGGCGCCATGGTTGCCAGCAGCCCTAAGCTCACATCCCCAGATCCTCTCAAAAAGAGAGGAGAGAAATCTTACCCAACATATCCCATCATAAAACATATCAGGGAAGGCTTTTTTTGGCCCTGCTTTGGTATTTTGCCCATCTCTGGATCAACCATCATGTCTAAGAAGGAGGATCACATAAGATACGTACTTTTCTCCCTGCTCTGGGTTTTGTTATTGTTATTTGCTTCTTCAATTGGACTGGCTAGATTATTTTAGTGAATTCCTTCCCTTCTATGCCCCAGTGTTCAAACTGATGTTGCTCTTCAGGGAGGAAACCTCAGGGTATGCCCACAGTCACTCTTTCCATGACCACACTCAGATGTTAAACTCCACTAATGTCTAGAGGTGGGGAAGAAGTGGTTCCCCCCAAGACAAGTGGCAGATAGCCCAGACAGGCTGTTGCAGAAATGCCAAGTGTCAAGCAATCTTCTCAATTTGTGCCTACTATATGAAATAACTTAGATTTGGGAAGTTAGAGCCTATGTTAAATTATGACATTACTAAGGCAGGACACAGAGGCTTAATTGAAAATATTCCATATGAACTTTAAAGCAGTTTTTTCCAATTCTGTGAAGAAGCTCATTGGTAGCTTGATGGGGATGGCATTGAATCTATAAATTACCTTGGGCAGTATGGCCATTTTCACGATATTGATTCTTCCTATCCATGAGCATGGTATGTTCTTCCATTTGTTTGTGTCCTCTTTGATTTCACTGAGCAGTGGTTTGTAGTTCTCCTTGAAGAGGTCCTTTACATCCCTTGTAAGTTGGATTCCTAGGTATTTTATTCTCTTTGAAGATACCATCTCACACCAGTTAGAATGGCGATCATTCAAAAGTCAGGAAACAACAGGTGCTGGAGAGGATGTGGAGAAATAGGAACACTTTTACACTGTTGGTGGGATTGTAAACTAGTTCAACCATTATGGAAAACAGTATGGCGATTCCTCAAGGATCTAGAGCTAGATGTACCATATGACCCAGCCATCCCATTACTGGGTATATACCCAAAGGATTATAAATTATGCTGCTATAAGGACACATGCACACGTATGTTTATTGCAGCACTATTCACAATAGCAAAGACTTGGAATCTACCCAAATGTCCATCAGTGACAGATTGGATTAAGAAAATGTGGCACATATACACCACGGAATACTATGCAGCCATAAAAAAGGATGAGTTTGTGTCCTTTGTAGGGACATGGATGCAGCTGGAAACCATCATTCTTAGCAAACTATCACAAGAACAGAAAACCAAACACCGCATGTTCTCACTCGTAGGTGGGAACTGAACAATGAGATCACTTGGACTCGGGAAGGGGAACATCACACACCGGGGCCTATCATGGGGAGGGGGGAGGGGGGAGGGATTGCATTGGGAGTTATACCTGATGTAAATGACGAGTTGATGGGTGCAGCACACCAACATGGCACAAGTATACATATGTAGCAAACCTGCACGTTGTGCACATGTACCCTACAACTTGAAGTTTAATAATAATAAAAAAAAAAAAAAAAAAAAAAAAGAAAATATTCCAAAGTAGAAATGTCTCAGCTCTCTGTGTGGGTTAGATGCAGGATTTATATGATCCGTTAACCTCTCCAAGTTTTTAAGATTAATGATTATGGTTATAGTACCCTACTCAGAAAGAAGGTAAAGCCCAGCAATATTTCCAACATCACTTACTATCCCTGATTTTCTATTAAAGCAAAAATGTTTCATATTTTATTATTAATGCAAAACAGAAATGAATGTCTTTAGTCTCTCTAATTCCAGAGTCTTCTTGGATTAGCCTGGGAAAGAATGAAGATTTTAGATTAATTTTTGTGTGAAGCATGGGAAGAACTGATGTACCAAAGGAATCCTAAGTCACAGCTAAGGCCAATTGAAACTGGATGGCTTAAACTGGAAACAGTTAAAGCCTAATGGCCTTTTCACTCTTTAAATGAACTCACCATTTAATATGGCATAGTATTAGTTTTAAAATATACACCTAATACTTAAATGTACATCAGGACTCTTTACATGTATAACATTTAAATATATACCAGAACTGTTTCCACATAAGTGTCTAAATAATGGCCCAGTAACCTTGGATATTTACACTGTGCTGCCAGGCACTGCATTTTTTTTTTTTTTTTTTTGGAGATGGAGTTTTGCTCTGTTGCCCAGGCTCGAATGCAGTGGCACGATCTCAGCTCACTGCAACCTCTGCCTCCGGGTTCAAGCAATTCCCTTGCCTCATCCTCAAGAGTAGCTGGGATTACAGGCGTCCACCACCATGTCAGGCTAATTTTTTGTATTTTTAGTAGAGACAGGGTTTTACCATGTTGTCCTGGCTGGTCTCAAGTGATCCACCTGCCTTGGCCTCCCAAAGTGCTGGGATTACAGGCATGAGCCACTGCGCCAAGCCCAGGCACTGCATATTTTAAGTGCAGTGTATAGATCCTATTTATACCAAAAACCTTATGTTTTTTATCAGATAAAAAACTGATTGATTTCCTAGTCAGACTGAAAGATCTTGTTTTACTCACAATTTAGTATTTTATGTGAAACTCTTGACTTTTAATTCAAAGTCTATTAACAAAATATGAGACCTAGATGAAAAGAATTAAAAATTTCATGCTAACCGTATTTTCCTTCTTTATGAAAATTGTCTTAGAATCTGTAGCTTCAATTAAAATTGGAGAGGTCATTTGATCCAGCATTTCCACTAGCAGTGACAAACAAATAAATAATCATAGACTTGGGAAAAAAAATCTAGCTACATGTATATTCATCACAGTATCATTTATAGTAGCAAAAAATTGAAAGGTAAATGTGCAGTAATAGGAAATTCTAAAATATGATAGAAATAAAGTATGGCATATCCATGCACTAGAGTATTATGAAAGCACTGAAATTGATGTTGAGGAAGACTATGAACTAAAAAGATATTATAAATATGTCATGAGGTTTGTTTTAAAAGATTATAAAATAGTAAAATTCCTTTGCTTAAATGGGATTTTATATGTATATAAATGGAGAAAAAGCAACCATGATACACACAAAAATACAAATAAAGTGATTTGAGCCTAGATAGTAGAAACATGGATTTTCTTTTTTGTATTTTAAATGTTTCCTAAATGTTCTATAAAAAACAAATCATACATTCATGTAAGAAAAATAAGAAATAAAAATTATTCACAATTGAGACTTTTGGTGTTAAAAATACTTGAACATTACTAAGAGTGGGTACTATGCGGAAACAATTTGTCATTAGCAGATTATCTATGCTCCTTTGGAGTGATTTCTCTGTGACTTTTTACACTATTTCACAATTCTGTCCTAGGCTTTATCAAAGTCCATGGACATCTGATCGAAGCAAAAATTAACAGAAATCTGCAAAAGAGCTATTAGGGACATTACTCTTGTGAATAGATAGTCAGCACTCTGGGGACAGACACTGTGTTATCTTTCTCATCTTAAATTTCACTGCTGGGCTTCATGCTGCTTTGTGCCTACCAGTGCTCAATCATTGGATCAACGTTGAATGACTGTTAAACTCCTTGATGTCAGAGTTAATTGCTGACAACACCCTACAGGGTTTGCTATGAGATATATATAAATTGCAATCTGCCAAAATGGGAACCCAAAGCTGCTTCTGGGGATCAAAATTAAGGGCAACCCATCTTTGTTTTGCTAGCTGTGAATTAGCTTTAAAAGGAAAAACAAGCAAACAAAAAACCCAGAGTTGATTCCAGAACGGAATATGTGTAAAGAGTTCACATCTGTTGTATCTTAGTTGGTATTCCACAATACGATTTTAAATAGATCCTTCATTTTGATCTCATCTGCTATGAACTAATGTGACTAAACAGGTTGGATAAACTGTCACTCTCCTAGAAGAATGAAGCAGTGTAGAACAAATGTCTTGATTTTAAAGTAACATTCTTTTTGCCTAACCCATTGTCCAGTTGTATTTCAAGTGAAGACATATTTTCTAAATTAAATTTATTTTTTAATACTATAAGGAGTCCTTATCTCCAGGCATGCTTTTGTACTTGCTATCACTTCAATAATTTGAATCACCTACACAAGTTCAAGGAAAGCACTGTGAACATAACAAGTCCTTATCCAAGTCCAGGGTATTTTGTTCACCTAGTTTACTGCTGTACCATCTGCCCTTTACTTCTGGAGGACTTTCAATAAAGCAGGAGCCAAAGTAAATGCAGATACCCCACTGCTATCTATTTAACTTTCATTAAGTGAGTTGGTGCAGTGCTCAGGCGCCTTCTCAAAACCAGCCCATCATCTAAGAGTATTTACATAAGACTCTTTGCATTATATTCCAACCTCTGCAACACTAGTATTAACTACTGACATCTGCCAACTCTGACTGGTAAGTGCTTTACAGTATCAATTCATCCCAAGCAAAAAGCATTTCTGAGTGCTGCAGTGCTCTTGTTAATGCCAATAAGAAGTATCAAGGCTTATATGACACCTAGAAGAAATTAGTACCCACATTCAAAGAAAAGTCTTTGTTATTTTCCAGAGTATTATGTGGACTTTATTGAGATGACTGCATCTGACACCTGCTGTAATATAAAATGCAGCTATAATTAGCCAACTGATGCTCACTGCAGTTTAGGTCGAATCCCTTCTGTGGGAATTATGCTTTAAAATATTCAGAACTCCAAGTGGCTCTCATTACATTTAATTTTAACTTAGAATTAGGTGGTCTAGAAAAAAAAATTTAGGATTGTAATAGCCCCCTGCTGAATGCCACACAGCAACGTGAAAACCCATAGGGTTTTTTTCCCCTCTAAAAAAAAAAAAAAAAAAAAAAAATGAGAGCAGCAGACTACACTACAGCCTTCAATTGAAGTCTGGCTTTGCTTAATTGTACTTTTTGCACTCATCAGTCTCTCCTCTTCAGAGCAAGCTACAAAAATTGCCTGAATAGCCAAAGAAAAGTTTCCCACAGTCACTGGCCACAGAAAAACACTATTGTCCTTCCTCACAGTTTGATGGACAACATTTCTATAAATGGGTAGCCGGGCTGTCAATGGTACCCTCGCTGAAAAGGCAAAAGAAGAGAACAGATTCTGCCAATATCTGACAAAGCATGTTAACACATAATCAGGCATTCACTAGTCAGGCAGCTGCCCCTGGGACCTTCATCACACAGGTGCCTTTAAGCCATTTCCTATTCACAGATAAAGGAAACAAACAGGAGATACCTGGGAAAGGAGCAGTCTATTATGATTTGCCAAATGTCCATCTTTTGGGCTGTGTGTAAAACTAGAAAGATGAAAAAAAAAAAAAACCAAAACCTGTAGTTTCAACTGAGAAATGATAAAACAGCCAAACACTTACAAAATCTTTATATTAAGCTGTGGAGTTTTTTCCTTTCCTTTTCTCTGTTTTTTTTTTTGGGGGGGGGCGGGGGAGTTGATTTCTGTTTGTTTGTATGGCATAACAGCACTCAAGTATAACAACGAAGGCCATCTTTTCCTTGGTGGCTTATCAAACGCATTTGCCCAGCCTTAGTGTGAAACACTAAGGCTGAAATAAATACTTACCTGGTCCAACTGAGTCACAAAAGGGTTTACTTTGTCACTTGAAGCCATTTTTCCTATACACTTGCACATTCACTCTTTCTTCATTTTAAGATCCGGGATCAGTAATGCCAGAGGGGTAATGGGGTGAATGATTCTCCAGGAAAGCAGAAACTCTGGACCATTTCTTGAGGAACCACCAAAGTAAATATTTCAGAAAAATAATTAGCATTTTTTATTTTTTCATAAGTGCTCAGACTAAGAACATTATTTCCACACTGTGGATTTCTATCCAATCAGAGGAAATATCAGACCTTAATACTTCATTACGCTAATGGCCCTATTACCATATATGACATTAAAATGTGCATACTGGTATATGGCTGTTCTTAGAACATTTTCAAATTAAAATTTCATGATTACTACCTTTAAGTTGTTAAGTAAGAATTTCTATTTTATTTCTTCATTTTCATTTTAGTGATTATCACACTGTCAATTCTTCTATATTTAAAGTGTGGTACACATATGAGGAAGGAACCAGGAAGGCAATTTTGTGAAGTGGTGAAGTTCTTAGGAATCTCAGATTGACTAAAATATAGTTGTTAGGATACAATTTGAAAATCGACACACTCAAAACTACAACTTTTAACCTAAAAGGCAAGTACTATAAAACTACTGGGGAAAAAGAAATCAAGATAGTAGTTAATCCAAACCAGTGGCAAAAGTTGAAACGACTGCTTTTTCAACTAACTTTGTAAATAAGCAATTATTATCTTGTATAGCTTCCTCATCTGCAAAATAGGAGTGTAATGCTTAACATTCCTATTTGTTGAATACAATGCTCAACAAATGGAACGAAACCAATAAAGGCTCACGAATACTTCATAAATACAACAATATATTCTCTGACTTAAGCTTTATTTTCTTCTTTATTTCTTTTTACATATTTGTTTAATAAAATATAAATAAAATTATGAAGTCAACTTTAGTTAATAAATAGCAAATTAGGATTTATTAAGTTTATAATCCTTATAAATATAAAGACATTAAGAAACCTTTCCTTAAATTTAATTCAATTAAATAATATTTAGAAAGTGCCTATATATAATCATCATCATTACTGCCAGTACGCCTATTCTGTGCTAAGTATTTTATGAATGTTTTATTATTTAATCCTTACAACAACCATCTGAGTCAGGTACAATTATTTTCCCTATTTTACAGGTAGGAAACTGAGGTTTTGGGATATAAAATGAATTAACCTTCTCTACTTTTCTACTAAGTTGCAGAGCTTGGATTTGGATTCAGGTCTGTATCCTTCTAAAGACCATACTTGTCCTATGAAACCATGGTTTATGTTTTAATAAACAGAACAAAATAAATTTGTATTTATGATTTGAAAATGCAACATGCTCTTTTATTAGGTAGCATGTGTACATTTTCTGTTTTATGATATATGTGTGTATTTTTATCATTATGACATAAGTTAAACCAACCTCTTATCTCCAGGAAAAATAATCAAAACTTTTTTGGATAGTTGAATTAGGGTTTTGTTTTTCTTAACTATTTAAAGTGAAAGAGTTTCTCTCCATGACCAAATTTACACCTGAAAATTTTCACTCAAAGACTAAACACTATCTCCCCAACCAGACTGAAGTTCTTTAAGGTTGAAAAGGAACCCTGTATTCAACTTTCTCAAGATTTGTGACAAAACACAGCCTCTTAGGAGTCTCATCTTTAGATGTACCCCATAAAACTCCTACAACTTAAAACACTTTTTTATTCTGGCTTTTGTTGAATCCAGAGTTTGTCAGTGTTGCCTACCAAAACAAATCTTTTCTAAACATCTGAACTTTTTAGCCTCATGTTTCAATTCATAGAAAACTTGATCTGAATTGATATGCCACTTCGATTCTAATCTCATCCTTGCCCAACTGAGCAAATCTCATCTCTGTTTCTTCCTTGCTCATTCCCATTTCTGGACTCTTAAAGTCACTGTGTTTCTGACTAGAAATACCCTCTTTTATTCTTTCTATCAATCTAAATCTAGTCTTTCGTGTCTACTTAATGGTGTACTTTCTCAACAAAATGTTCTTAACTGATTCCACTTAACACTAATCTTTCATGTAATTTCATCTGTCCTTATTTTTTCTTTTTCTGAGATGGAGTTTCACTCTTGTTACCCAGACTAGAGTACAGTGGCGTGATCTTGGCTCACTGCAACCTCCGCCTCACAGGTTCAGGTAATTCTCCTGCCTCAGCCTCCTGAGTAGCTGGGCTTACAGGCACCCACCACTATGCCCAGCTAATTTTTTTTTTTTTTTTTTTTTTGCTTTTTAGGAGATGGAGTTTCAACATGTTGGCCAGGCTGGTCTCAAACTCCTGACCTCAGATGATCCACCCGCCTTGGCCTCCCAAAGTGCTGGGATTACAGACGTGAGTTGTCCTTATTTTTCCATTATGTGGCCTATCACCATTCACTTGAATGATATGATGGCTAGCCTCGCCCTCCTAATTGATTCATGGAGACTAGACCTATATTTTCTACCAAATTATATCCTCCTTGTGTGTCTGGAATTGGTTCCTTCTGGTGGATTGCTGGTCTTGCTGACTTCAAGAATGAAGCTAGGGACCTTCTTCCCGGTGAGTGTTACAGCTCTTAAAGATGGTGAGTCTGGAGTTTGCTCCTTCCAATGTGTCCAGAGTTTCTTCCTTCCGGTGGGTTCGTGGTCTCGCTGGCTTCAGGAATAAAGCCACAGACCCCGGCGGTGTGTGTTACAGCTCATAAAGGTAGTGTGGACCCAAAGAGTGAGCGGCAGCAAGACTTATTGTGAAGAGGGAAAGAACAAAGCTTCCAAAGCATGGAAGGGGACCCCAGCAGATTTCTGCTGCTGGCTTGGGTGGTCAGCTTTTAGTTCCTTATTTGGTCCTGCTCACGTCCTGTTGATTGGTCCAGTTTACAGAGTGTAGATTGGTCCATTTTACAGAGTGCTGATTGGTGCGTTTTTACAGAGTGCTGATTGGTGCATTTACAATCCTTTAGCTAGACACAGAACACTGATTGGTGCGTTTACAATCCTCTAGCTAGACAGAAAAGTTCTCCAAGTCCCCACTTTACCCAGGAAGTCCAGCTGGCTTCAACTCTCACTTGGGGGCAAAAGAAAGACCATATAAATAAATGAATGAATAGTAAAACAGTTGATCCTAATGCTTCATATACTATTCTCTCATAAATCCTTGAAGAGAGTTATCATCCATTGTTATACTCCTGGAGTTCTACAACTAGAAAAGGAAGAAATTCCACACTGAAATCTGGCTTGAACTAAGAATGGGTTAGAAGAGTTGCCATCTCTAATCTTTCCTGTGGAAATTTCCTGTGGAAATCATTAGTGCACTAAACATTCTGGCTTTTTTCCTTCTAGGCACATGAGGGGATTACTCTTCTTGACCCCATTTGAAATTAACATGGCCACGTGATTTGATTTAATCAATTAGTGTGATCAGAAGTGACAAATAGTCATTCTAGGGAGAAGATTTAATAGTCTGTGTGCTATTTGCCATTTTACTTTTTCTTTGCTGCAGTATTTGTGGAAGAATGAAGATGGAGCCCCCTCCTCAGCCAGGGTCCTTAAATGAGGAAAATGTAGAGCAGAGTTCCTGGTCAATTTACAGCCACCATGTAAAAGGAGTAAGAAACAGACTTGCCCTGTTTTAAGTCACCAACATTCATTACTGCAGCACAGCCTCTCCAGTGCTGACTAATAACTTCTTAATGTCAAGGTGGGACACAGTATGCCAAAATTGGAGGAGACTGAAAAACAAAATGATTGGCTAAATTAAAGCATCTTCAAATATGATCCAGAAGTATATTAGATTAGGCATTTCATTTCTGAAACTTGTAGGTAAAGAATTAAGCTCTATAGATCCTTCAAACATCTTCTGAGTTGTTCACAATTACATTTCTTTCTCCCCTTTGGTATGCATCGCCCCTTCACACTTGGCACATTAATTTGAAATTTTAAAATTTTATAAACTCCACAGACTCCACTAAAATCTTAAACCACCAGAAAATTTAGTGGTAGATTTCTGTAACTTTTGTATGTAATATTTCTGATTGAATATTAAAATATCATTCGTGTCCTCATAGATGCAGCTGTAAAATTATATGCCTATTTTTGACTTTATTTTGCTGTTAGTATGTCCATTTAGTCAAGATAAGAAATCGCTGGTCTGGCTCTGCTGATCTATTTAAGAGTTGTTTTTACCTATTTATAGCATAAATAAATAAATGTTTTCATGTGTTTCAAAAAAGGAACACATATCTAAAGTTTCAAATATGAAATATGAGAACCTACTGAGTATACTTATTTTTTTACTTTTATTCTCTTTTATATATCAATATGCTGACAGATACATTCCTCTATGACTACATCCTTCACCACACATAAGTACTGTATAGTTACGAATAATGAAATGATTAAAAAGCATAATGAAAGAATGGCACAACTGTTTTTTTTTTAACTTCTCACTCTTGAGGACTCATTGCAATATTTCCTGCTCCATATTAAACTTGAGAGCTTCTGAGAAGTATTCTTAGAATTCTGATCTTTTGGAAAGAATAATGATTCAATTAGGGTTTTTTTAATCACGATGATTACTTTATGATAATGATCTTACATGGCTAAGACGTTGCACTTACATTGCACTTAGATGCAGCATTTCATTTTAGCAAATTCCAAGAACCATTCACAACTTTATTATTGTACCTGATTTTTACAAGTTCTTTATCCAAGAATCTCTTCATTCTTAGTCAAAATGGGGAAGCTATTTGAGAGGTACAGTGATACCAGCACCAACTGAAAAACATAACAAAATGAGGAACATCAGAACCATTTGAAAGCAAACCAGAAATCCTCATTTGTAGTCTTAAGTAATATGTCTTGGAATTGGTTCAGAAATCAGTCTTTCAGAGGTCCTTTGAAATTGTCTTGAAGTTTTATTGGATAAATTGAGTCTTTTGTAACACACATTATATTAGACATTAGTTTCCTCCCACAATAGAAGGAAGGAACTAAGATGATATCACTATTACCATTTCTAACAATGTCTGGCTAGCTAAGACTGAAACTAGACAAATTTCTGAAAACTTCATTTGAGTGATAAGACATGAATAGAAATGGCATTTAAAATTGTTTGTTGGAGTTATTATACAAAAATATGTATATTGTAAAACTTTAATCATTTTTTTCTTTTGCCATTCCCATTGAAGGTATTCAGTTTATCAATGCTCATTCAACCAATATTTATTGAACCCTGATTATGTTAGGGAAATGAAATCTATGACATTGCATGGAAATAGAAAACAGATGCTATGGTTTGAATGTCCCCTCCAAAACTCATTAAATCTTAATTGCCATTGTGACAGTATTAAGACATGGGACCTACCTTTAAGTAGTGATGATGCGTTATCTCAGGAGTGGGTTAGTTATCACAGGAGTGTGTTAGTTATCTGCTCTCAGGAGTGGGTTAGATCACGGGAGTGTGTTAGTTATCTCGTTATCTCAGGAGTGGGTTAGTTATCACAGGAGTGTGTTAGTTATCTCAGGAGTGGGTTAGTTATCACAGGAGTGGGTTAGTTATCTCAGGTGTGGGTTAGTTATCACAGGAGTGGGTGGAGTGGGTTAGTAATCATAGGAGTGGGTTAGTTATCACAGGAGTGGATTCCTTATATTAATAAAACAGATGAGTTTGGCCCCCTTCCTGCTTGCTCTTGCGCTCACACTCTGTGCCCTTCTACATTCCACTATGAGATGACATGGCAACCCCTCACCAGATGCTGAGAAGATCCCAGTGCCAGCCTCCAGAACCATAAGCCAGATAAAATTTTCTTTATAAAGTACCCAGTCTGTAGTATTCTGTTATAGCAACACAAAACAACTAGGACAGCAGGTAATGATATATGTCATAAGAATAGCACAGACAATGCTAGCTCTCTCAAGGAAGCTTCCAGTTATGAGGAGGCCAGAGAAAGCCTGGTGGAAAGGGTGAGTCTCAAGCTGAGTCTTAGAAAAAATAGGTGAGATTTTACCTATTTTATATATGAGTAATAAAACAAAAGTAAAAATGCAGGGAGACAACATGGATGGCAAGGAAATGAGTATACTGTAGAAACTGCAAACGACTTATGCAAAATAGAACTATGAAAATAGGATGTTTCCAGTCAACAAGGCATGGTGGAGGTTTAGTTGTTGAAGCTGGTGGTGTATAGTGTGTGAGCATATGAGTATATGTGTTCAGGAATAGTGAAGATGTCCTCCTTTGGGAGAGATAAATCAAGTTCACAGAGGAAGCACGAAGGGATGGTATGAGTTTAGTCTTGGAAATAAAAAACACTTCTTCCTTTGACAGAGCAACAATCATACTTTACCATGAAAGAACATCTGAGGAGGTCACAACACCTATTGTGTGCTTCCTTACTTTCCTTCTCCTCTAGCTAAAGCATCTCAGCCACTAGATCTATTTTTTCATTCATAGGTACCTTCATTTTAATATTTATTGGACACCTACTATGTACCAGGAACTGTTCTGGATATGATGGGTACGAAGACAATCAGCTACATCACTATTGGCATACCATTGCCTAGGATATGGTTGATACTCAATAAACATTTGCTGCTTTAAGGTAGAGATAACAGAAATGAGAAAGCACACACCAGTTACCTGTGAATTTCTCAGTAAAGTAGGATGGTTATTATCTGGTGAGAATGGAAAGGGTAAGTAGTGAATTAGACGTGTGAGCAATGAGAGACTTGAAGCATCGGCTAAGGGAAGTGTGCTGGGGAATAAACAGGAGATCAATATCAAGATAACCTAGGAGCAATGAGAACCCAGCTGGAATAGGAGAGATTGATTTTTGTAGTAGGCCAAGGTACATATGGTGGTATGACTTTCTCCAAGAATACTGTTTTAACAAAATTCTCTATTGTACAGGAAAAAGATCAGGGGAAACACATACGTAGGGTGGTGGTGGAAGGTGAGAACTGGCCTGGAGAGAAGATAGGGATTTAATAAAAGGAAAGTGGAGTTTTACATTTGCTAAAGGCAAGCCCTCTCTCCCCCAAATAACTTGATGCTACATGATATTTCCCTCATATTATTAACCCATAAAAAAATGGATTACTGTCTTCTAAACTGTTCTATTCTAAATTGCATTTCAACATGACTTCTGAAATAGCAGTAACATTACTAAACCTACTGCAGAATTCTTTATTTTTATCAGGATGTCCACGGAAGTGTCTTTTCGTGACAAACTCCTACCCTGAACTTTTGTAAAAGTATATAAATGTTAAATGCAAGATATTATAAAAATTAGTATTAAAGTAATAAATAATATTTACTTCTTCCATTATGAGATTTTGGAAATTCCATACAACAAACCCTATAAATTCCCTTTTTGAATAAATGAGACCATTTTAGAGGACATTAAATCTATAAAAATTAAAGAACAGCCTCCACTGATTTAGCTACTATGATTTTTATTTATGCTGTTCATTATCTACCTAGAATTTACATATTCCATGTGTCTCCATATTTGAAATGACTGTAAGAACATATGGCAATATGGCATTAGCTTATTCAAAAATGATATGATTGAATCTAGCACAATTTTAAAACTATGGCAGAGTTAGTATCTTTTATTTTATTTTACTTTATTTTATTTTATTTTATTTTATTTTATTTTTATTTTTTTTGAGACGGAGTCTCGCTCTGTCGCCCAGGCTAGAGTGCAGTGGCTGGATCTCAGCTCACTGCAAGCTCCGCCTCCCGGGTCTACGCCATTCTCCTGCCTCAGCCTCCCGAGTAGCTGGGACTACAGGCGCCCGCCACCTCGCCCGGCTAGATTTTTGTATTTTTTTAGTAGAGACGGGGTTTCACCGTGTTAGCCAGGCTGGTCTTGATCTCCTGACCTCGTGATCCGCCCGTGTTGGCCTCCCAAAGTGCTGGGATTACAGGCTTGAGCCACCGCGCCCGGCCGTATCTTTTATTTTAACCAATCTTCTGACACCTGGATTTTCCTCAGTTTAAATGGATTCCTAGTTTTAAATGAAAAGAAGCTGAATGACAGTGTTCTCAATTCCCCTCTCTTAGAAAACTAGGTGGATGGGTTAGTGTAAGTTGCTGTGAAGTTCTCAGGAAAATACCACTCAAGAGGATAAGAACTCAGAAGCTCTTCAAGCACATGGAGTATCTTTTCCTTTAAAATTCCCAGGACAGGGCCAGACTCACACCAGATACTTGAATATTTGTGTGACTAGACTCTGCACAACCCAAGAGTAGGGCTGTATCTGACTTGTTCACAGTTGAATCTCCATTGCCTACCAAAGCATCAGACATATAATTAATGTTGAGGAGAAAGAAAGCCTAAAGGCCCAAGACAGTTAGCTTCAGTTCTAAGTAACAACATTCTCTTAGACAGTATACTGAAAGGGCCAGGCACTGAACAAAACATCTGCACTTTAACAACTGTCTTAATAATAGCACATGTTATTAAACACCAAAGAACTTTTGGAACTACTCACATTAAAAAAATTTAGAAAATTGCATTCAAATTATAGGTAATTTACATATGAAATTGCTTGCAGTTAATGTGTTGCCTAATAGGCACGCATTTGTTCGTATAAATTTTAGTATTTTCTTTGCCCATGATTTAACTAACTTACCTTTTCAAGAAAGTTGCTGTAAAACTATACTTTAATCTCAATAGTTTTTCCTTTTTTCTTTGTGAAGGAGATGATGCTGCTGTTTGGGTGTAAGGATAGGAGGTAAAGCCAGGTGAAAGGGTTTAAAAACAATAACAAAGGAGATAATACAGTTTATTTTCTTCAGGGAGGTTTTCCAAGCGTTTTGGAAACCCATTTGTATTGACAAAAATAAATGAGATGAAATTGACTGAAAAGAGAGCTCTCATTACAAAAGCTCAAAATATAAATTGTATTACCCTTCAGTTATTGATAACAAGAATTTACCTATTTCAGTTTATCTTTATCTTTCACCCACCAGACCCCTGATTGTCTCTCATTCCTGCAAGAGGTACACAAAAAGACACTTCCTGATCTTGAGGGTTGTTGTAGAATCTATACTTAGAGACTACTAAAAATGAAAGGGGAAAACAATTGGCAGAAGGAGCATGACTTATTGAGTACCCTTTTTCTTTCTTTCTAAAATAATAGATGGCTGAAAAAAGAAGAGTAAGAATGGGAATATAAATGAGGATCATGGCCAGGCACAGTGGCTCACACCTGTAATCCCAGCACTTAGAGAGACTGAGGCGAGCAGATCACTTGAGCTCAGGAGTTCAAGACCAGCCTTGCCAACATGGTGAAACCCCTTCTCTACTAAAATTATAAAAATTAGCCAGGCATGAGGTCAGGTACCTGTAAACCCAGCTACTCAGGAGGCTGAGGCTCCAGAAATGCTTGAAGCTGGGAGGTGGAAACTGTAGTGAGCGGAGATCATGCTACTGCACTCCAGCCTGGGCAACACAGCAAGACTCTATCTCGAAAAATAAAAATTAAAAACAGCTGGGCGTGGTGGCTCACGCCTGCAATCCCAGCTCTTTGGGAGGTTGAGGCGGGTGGATCACTTAAGGTCAGGAGTTCGAGACCAGCCTGGCCAACATGGTGAAACCCCATCTCTACTAAAAATACAAAAATTAGTTGGGCGTGGTGGCGGGTACCTATAATCCCAGCTACTCGGGAGGCTGAGGCAGGAGAATCGCTTGAACCTGGGAGGCAGAGGTTGCAGTGAGCTGATATTATGCCACTGCACTCCAGCCTGGGCAACAGGGCAAGACTCT